AATGCAACGAATATTAGTTCAAATAATTTAAATTTATTATATCATTTATAATATTTAATCATTTTAAAAAGTTATCTTGGATTAAACATTGATGAGTTGGTAATAAGTTATTACCAATGATTAAAAATCATCAGGAATTAGGATTCAGAATTTTTCGTAATATCTGATTGATTATTATAATAATTTTCCGGACGTACAATTAAAAAAAAAACAAAAAATTTCAAAATGCTATACGTAAAACTAAGTTAAAAAAAAAAAATAAGGTTTTATTTTATACTTTGTACATGAGATAATATAATATTAGGACCATGAATATAAAAGATAAAAATATTTATTAAATAATTATCTTACGTCTTTAAAGTAATAAATGTATCCTAAAACTCAAATATTATGTAAAAAAAATAAAAATACACAGCAGTAATTTTTTGAATTCTTTTCATAAAGTTGTGTAGTTTTTTTTTGCGCTTACCTAGCATCAATAAAGTCGAGTATACAGAAATTATGCAAACCACAAATATCTTCTACGTGTTTGTTTACTATGTATACATAACTATATATTATATAACAATGGCTTCAGAATATTATAATCAATGTATATGTATAATAGTATGTTCAATGATGAGAAATAAAACAAACAAATGTCTACAGGGTGAATTTCGGGGACAATTTTATTTTCTGCACTCCAATGCTATTCATATAATATTTCATTTTACATGTTATTATGTAGTCAAGGTATTATTTGTTTGAACAGATTTAAAATACTCTTTAGATATTTTTATCTTGACATTTTTCAGCAAATACAATCTCGTTACATACGTGACATGTGTTTGAAGTTAAAAAAAAAAAAAATAAATCTGCTATAAACTATTATAGAGATCAAGAAGTAACTAGAAAATTTCAATAGTGTAGCTAAATTGCCTATCTAGGATGCCGTGTCATCATAATATTACTGGTATTGAAAATAATAAAAAACAATTTGCGTCTCTACTGTTTGTGACCAAGTATCGAAATAAAATAGGTTTTCTATTTATTTTTGCATATGTATGTTATATTTGATTTAAATAAAGATAGAATTGTATTTAGTTATTTTATTTACTCAAATTTGCGTTTTTGAAGATGGTATATAAAAATTGGAAGTACCGACTAATTTTTTGTAGGTACTTAAATGTAATAACAGTTTATTTATACGTACCTTTTTTTGTTTAACACAAAAAACATAAATATATAATTCTTTGATTTTATATAAAAAAAGAAAACCATTATTTTTTTTTTTAATAATTAACAAATATATTATGTTATGAATGTACTTTACTTTGCAAAATGTAAATTATTAGATCAAATTACTCCACAAAATGAACTATCTTACAACGAATTAAAACGCGTGTAAATTTCAGTTTAACAGAAAGTTATATCTTACTTAAGTTAATTAAAAATTTACAGTGCAATGAATCTACGATTATCAGGTAAACATAAAAAGTACAAAATAATTACTTCCTTTTATTGTGTATAAATATTATCAAATTTTCCTCTTGAATGATTAACGATACTTATAAGTTTTTAATTACCAATATTTCATTTTATCGTAAACAAACTGGAAAAAATAAAAATAAATAGTATATTATAAGCATAGTCTCAAACATATTTAACGCTCAGAATTTTTCATACTAATTATATAGAATTTTGGCCTTGAAAGTACTTATTAATAACAAAACAGTACAGTAAATTTTGTATATGACGTACTGAATGCAATTGTTATTTATTAATATTTGCCGATAAAAATATTTAAAAATAGAAAAACTAAATTAAATTATTTTTATTTTATACCTAAGGCAATACTCTGATACTCTTGAGTTGCAACCAGGTAGAAACGAGAAAAAAATATGATATGATTTTTAATAATTTTTGATTTCAGATTTATGCAAGTGGAAAATTTTACAGTCTATTATATAAACTGCATGATGCAGACACTTTATACATTCGGGTAAAAATGTACATTTAAGAATGCGGACACTTTGCATAATTATATACAAAAAGTATATATTATAAATCTAAATATGTATAGTAAGTAAATATAATGTCAATTACTAAAATTTAAAATAAAATAAAAAGTCAATTATAAACGTTATAAAAAATAGTATAATTAATAAGTTAAAACAATCAAAGTTTTTTTTTTAATTTACTGTTGTAATAAAAAAAATTATATTAAAAAATAAATTAAAAATTTGTTCAATATACGAGTAAATATAAATAAAAAATAATACCGAAAAAATATCGATAAAAAACGGCATAATATATAATATAATATGGAATTTAAAAATTAAAAATTTGTTATTTTCTTTTTTGGCAGTGGTTACATCAATTTAATAGTTAATTATGTTAACTGGATTGAGATTTTGTCTCTTATGAAGTCTATTGCCATATTTGTCCAATTTTATTCCCCACAAAACTGTCCAAAATCTCCTACTACTCCACCCTTTAGTAAATTTATTCGTTCAATGAGATTAGACATTGTTTGATATGTTTATTCCAAACAGAAAATGAGAATCATACGTTATTGTAATTACTACTAATATAAATTCTGTCAATATTTAGAAAAAGAAATAGCGTAATTCTTAGGTAAATGTTGTATACATATGACCAAAACAACGTCAATGGGTAAAAACGGTAATGAAGTCATAATTTTATATTCTTTAGAAATACGTTTATTTTCTTTATAAAATTTTGCCAATCAGATTTGCTGCAACTTTGTCGCTTTACAGACTGGAATAAATGAAAAAAAAACCTTGAATCTTGACTCCATTTAAAGAGATTTATTACATTTATTATTCCAAAACTCAAAATCTATAGTGATCCACTCAGGCTTAAGGAGAGTAGCGTTTTCAACAGACGCTACAACGGGATTCAATAACATTTCATGATACGCATTTTCCAATTTTTCTGAAAGGAAAACATAGACACACGTCCTAACATTCCCTTTAAATTCATCTTTTACTAGTTTTGGTCTTAATTTGGAGGAATTTTTTGTTGCTATAGTCACGATTTTACAGAAGTCATCTTTTAGTGAAATGCATTTCAACGATAAACGCAAATGATAATTTGATTAACTTCGATATCGCGCTAGGAAAATAAATACGAGATATAGATACATTTTTATCGATATGTAATAACTAGGGTTCGGAAGTTGTAGGAATGGCGTATTGTTCTTTATGCTTTCAATTTAAAGCAGAAAAAGTTAGAATTCTGAACTGCACAATGAAGATTTAAAAATTTTAAATGCATATTTTGTCAATTTTAGCTAAAAAAAAGTGCATATTTCATTGATTTTATACACATATAATGTATATATTTCATATTTTTTTCTTTCTCAGCCTGTATATTTCAATTAATATTGAATATAAAACTCAAAATTATCAATGAAGATATTTATCTTAATTTCAAAAATACTGAATAATATTTTTAATTATATTTTTAGCTCAATAATAGATATAAAAATACCAACCAGTTATAATTTTTTTTCGGTTATAAACAGTTTTTATATATATTAATAAAATTTTGCGCCTTTTTTAGCTCCTACAACTGCAGAGTCCAAGTAATAATCCATGATTCTTTCTTTTTTGGAATGAATAATATACTTAGATTTATGAAATTATTTTCAAAAACTAAATAACATCTTTAATAAAATTGGTCACGAATTGAAACCTGTTTATAATATATACATACTTTACACATATAATAGTCAAAGTTTCCACGGTCGCCACTATCTAAAGTTTTATCAGACCGCACAAAGTGACCTAGAGCCCATGGAAATACCGGGAAAACGGCCAATTACGGTACGCACTATACTTATTGTACTAAGTCGGTAGTTTTGTAATTAAGCGAGTATGGAAGAAAAAACTTTACCGGCATTTTGTTTACAAAAATCGGTGTTTATAGTTATATTATACATTAATCGTAGTTTATATAGCCAGTGGCACGTTTATTCCATTTATTGGCAATCGTGAAGCTGTTGCTTTAAAAGGTTATGGTCATAAAACATTCTCACTATCACCATATATACCAGTTACAAATCTGTAGTAAAGAACAGTCTAATATACGATACGATAACGGCGTGAGTATTATAAATAATAGCATTCATAAAAGTTAGATGTGCCCGTTCTTATCAATTATTTGAATTAAAAGATTGATTAAGACAACTTAAATCTTGCCACTATCTCTCATTTTTTAAATGCAATTTTTTTTTCATCTGTTTTAAATTTTAATGTAGAGATAAGCACGAAAAAAATTGCTATCTATAGCTATATTAGCCAACCACATTGTCTTTGAGACGTATTTAAATTGGTTGAAGTGGTGGAAAATAAGTGGTAAAATGGGCACGTCGAATAATAAATAAAATACCAGCTAAAACAAACATAATGCTACCGAGTAGGATTTTATTTAAGGTTTTCACGGTCTACAGTTACAAAGATAGGCTGCTGCTTTAAGAAATAATATCAATACAGTAAAAAAGTAAAATATCTCAATTTGCTATTTTTTTTATTTTTTTTTTTGTAAAATAAGCGACTACAATAGATCAGATCCTCCTAAAAGTAATATTAAATTTTCATTTTCTAAATTTTGCGTAATGTGTGCAAAATAAAATCTTTGTAAAAATAATTATTGATTTACATTGGAAGTTAAAATATTTAAACAAAAACGAATAAAATATAAATTACGGTTTTTGAAAGAGGGAGCTATTCTAAAATATATTCGAAAAGCATGTACAAAATATTATAATTTATGCATGAAAAAGAAAAATAAGGGATATATACACTACCACTTAACCTTTTCTTTCCACGACTCATATATATATATATGTATGTGTTTCATTAAAAAGGTAAACCTTTAAAATTTATTTGTTATTGAACTCAAGAGTATAGCCTTATATAGTATAGTATTATTTTTGGATATGGGTATTATTAACAAACTGAAAAACGTAAACATTTTATTTTTATTTTATTAGGTGAATGAAAACGACATTATTATGTATATACGTAATACATTATAACACTTTTATCGTTTTAGTTTTATTTTCATTCGTTGTTGCATGCTATTTCGTAATCTGGATAAGCTTTTCTTAAAATATTTGCTGAAATTGAATGGTCAGCTGGTCCATATTGCTGAAACAGAAAATAAATAAACGTTAATCACTATAGAATTTATGTGTGTACACCTACAAGTGAAAATACACGGCGGTTGATTGTAATTTTTTTGCATTATGTAATTTTTATAGCGTCGTATCGTCGTCGGGAGAAATTTTATGAATTGTATACAATTTGAGTTAGTGGATGGAGAAAAGCTTTTATGCTATAACGCATGAACGCGAATTAAACATTTTTGAGCGTTGTCGTATACGTATCGACTTTTGGCTTACGAGAATTCGAATTGATGCGAGATTGTGTAAAATCATCGGGGGCGAAGTCATTGCGAATAAATAGGCATATAAACGTATTATATGCATAAACTACTGAAGTATACATTAATACAATACGCAGTGTGATAAAAAAATGGAAATACTTCTATGGGTAGGAAAAAAATTTCGGTAATGAAAATTATCGATTTGTCGTGTAACATTTTACACTTTAGACTTGTGTAAGCTGAATGGATTGTGGTTTTTCGTCATTGAAGAAGATTATATCACAAGCAGATACGTGCATTACGCCAAGTGTAAACAAAAGAAAACAAAAACCGATTTCCGCATGAAGTATTATATAATTTAGTAAATCTAAAGGACATGTAATTCTGAAATATACAGGCAAAAGATTAATTTCAAATTTCAGAAAACTTAAATTTTTCGACGCTACAGCGTTCTTTTATGTTTTCATTAGCCATTTAAAAAAAAAAAGCGTTTTTCTTTATTTATTTTCAAGCATTTAGCCCGTTATTATATTTTCTCCGTTTTTTTTTTAACAATATGATGACGGTCTCCGAATAATTTTTATTCATCTACATTGCCAAACGGTGTATGAAAATTGTTAGCGAAATTCCAGTAATAACGTCACAGTACATTTTGTTTAAAAAACCTTGTTGAAATATTATGCAAACTTTTATATTATATTGTGTAAACACGCGCAAAAAAAACGGGTTTACAGTCTAAACGATTTTCGAGTGTCTCGCGCCTCGTGTTCGTGTATAATATGCATGTGTTTTAGTAATATATTGACGCGCGCCCTTAAAAAATAACTTTTATTGTCACTCAAAACGCTCTAATGATACGCGAAAAATGTGAGGATTAATCGCTAGATTTTAACGTCGTGATATTTTTGTACTAGCCATTTTCGCCGAGAGTGAGACGGATTGTTGCGTGTCCTTTATATATACATATACATCACGCGAGATTTTACTGTCATTATATTATATCGTATTAATGTCGGAGTTAATGATATATATTTGCGAGTAATATATAAAAAAAAAAAACTACTTAACATAATATGACGACGTGTGTGTGTAAGTGTGTGTGTGTTTTATTTATGAATAGTTTTTTATCACTTTTATTCACCACTCTAATTCGTATTATCGCTCGTAACGATTTGCGGTAGACCATGTTAATATATATATATGTAACATATTTTGCTGTTATTCTGGTTATTCTGAGCCACAGTCTGTGGTTATACATAAAACATTTTTATTTAAAGTTTCCCATCGCGTATGGTATGCGTATTATAGAACTATACATAATTATGTAACCTGCAAACGTATGCATTACCTAAACCCTCTAATATTCACGTCTCTCATCTCAAGTTATGGTATAGAAAATCCATGTCAAAAGAATTTGCAGGCTAAAACCAATCGAGCCGGACAACTCAATTGTAACAATTCGGCATTCGGAATTTAACTGACTGTATGTAAATATATTTTACATCAACTTTTTTTTTTTTTATTTGTTTAAAAGAATATTTACAATACATTTTTACAATAATCAGTAAGTATGGAGACAATTAGTTATAATAAAATTTAAATATTTTGATAGGAAGACCCTCAGTAGTGCCACCTGACAAGAAAAAATTACATTATGTTAGTTATTTGGTATTATTTGTTTATTATTTATTTATTTTTTTTGTACTTCATGCGTTGAGCATGTTTCTGGGCTACAGCCTTTTAAGTTTTCTGGGAACGTTTGTAGCAAAGGATAATTTTTAGATTAAAGGATTCGTTACATCAACTATAGATGAATATACAATAAAATTCGCTTAAGACGCTATTTAAGGGATCAATTTTCTAAAACTTTTTAAGCGGGAATGAAAAAACAAATGAAGTGATTGAAATATGGAGTTAATTATTTTATTATTGAATATAATTTAACGGGAAATACACTGATTTAAATAAATAAATAAATTTATATATAAATACATAGGTACATATATTTTTTGCTTTCTAAATTTAATTAAAAAAAAAATTATTATTACATATTTTATTATTGTTTATTAAAAAATTTATCTAATTTGTTAAGACAACCCAACATTTCTTCGAAATTTTCTGTTGAGGGTAATATTTTTCGAATTTCTGATTGGTTTTGTAAACCACTAACTAAATTTTATAATACGACGGAGTACAGAAAAACTGTTATAATAGGCAATGATAAAATAGGTGTAGTGATAAAATAAAACGATAAGAACAAGCAAACGAGAAAAAATTTCTATTTTTATTTTCACAAAATTACTAAAAATTATTGTAATTTGCTGAACAAAAGAGCGTTTTGTCCAATGAGAAAGTAAAAACTAGAGCGTCTTAACAGGTGGTTTTTACATTGACTAGTATTGGAAATGTCAAAGGACCGACGGAAAATAGCGTCTTAAGTGAGTTTTACCGTATTTCAAATGGTTAAATTCATTTTTACCGAAAAACTGCATTTAAAAATAGCATTCTGCTTATAATATATAATAATGTAATAATTATTCATATTTATTCATAATTTTGTACTAAACGTTTTAGATCTTTCTACAAAACTTAGACAAAACAGTTTGCAAATTGTCATGACTTTTACGAATTTTATCAAAATTTGAATTTCAAATACTTATGGGTATATAAAAATAAATTGTGATTATATAGTAAATATATTTTTTAACACATATGAGAGTAACTTAAATGAATATTGTATTAAATTTTCAAGCTTTGTGATTGAATGAAAAAAAAATACATAATTGTAAAATCAATAATTTTATTTATTACTCCGCTCCGAATCTAAGACAACGGATTAAATGGATTATTCTGAAAGTATAATTTGGTATATAGTGCGGTCATAAAAATAGATTTTAACCTTATTTAAATATATCCTATATTGTGAATAGTAACATGAAAACACTTTGTAAATTAATGGCCAAGAAACTCTTAAGTATTGAATTGTTTTTCGATTTCTTAATATATAAGTTAGAACATTTAACTCGTATATCCCATTGTGTTAGTACATCCGTTGGTTACTAGTGTACAAAGTTATGATTGTAAATATGTACTAAAACTTTTATTTATTGTCCGTAGTTACTCTACATAGTTTAAATGGTTGTTTGTATTAAGATTTTAAAACGGTTCTATTCAAATTAATTTCGTATAAGCCAGAATCGAAAATGATCAAAATATGAGTATTAATATTGATTATTTAGTATTTACCATATTTATTATAAAATTTTCCAAATTATTTTAAAATTGTACACGGTGTTATAGATCATTGCGTTGTATTTAATTACTATACGTTTAGGAACCGGGAATTAAGCACGCTTGCAGTGAGATTGCCTAACTTGTTTTTTAATTTAACTAAATCCGGGCTCGGACAGGTATGAAACATTAATTATTTATAGTTGCTTAGCCATATCTTTTTTTCTATAAACAAGAGTGATTTACGATATTAAAGATTTTGACACTGATATGAATATATATACACAAATTCTATTTTTATCCCTGTTTTATTGATATTTTATTTTTAACGCTCTGTATAGGGAGAGCTATACAGTAGGTACCTATACACACGATTTTTACACCACACACCGATGCACACTTCTGTGTACATAATACATATATATACATATTATAGGCATACAACATCCTGCACACTATCGTATTACGACCTCGGGGATATTGGACCGTGTAATATGATCATGGAATAATATTGACATACCTATATCCTTTTCTCAATCGACGACGGAATCGAAACGGTGGGTCGTACACGTATATAAATACGAATATGTTTTCTTCGATACTTAAAAATCCAATTTCTATTTCACGATATTCGAGATCGTTTACGGTATGCCGAAACACTTCACATGACACAAATCGTTTCGTACCGCATGAATGGAATTCGTATCATAAAAGTGAACGTGTGAGTTGTGCGTGTGTGTGTTAACGGTCCCTTTTTAGTACAAAGTATATGTATCATATTATAGGCGCGACATATGCTTATATGGCGAGGACAGCACACGTCGAATTGTCACAATCAGAATAATCGAGTTAGAAACCAGATCAATGATGGTAGTCGTTTAACCGGCGATGAGGAGAAAGTAAGGAATCTTTTTTTATTTAATCACTACACTGCAGAGACGAGTCCTGTATACCGTAAAATGCATTAATCGTAGACTTCTTATCATTATTATGGTAATTTCAAATAGCGACGATTCCAGCTGAAATATTTTCTGACAGCTACGGTTTAATCCAATCGGTCGTATTATTATTTGAGTTTGCGTGTCGTGCCTGTATAATATACATATATATACTGCAAGGAGTTAGATCGTTGATGTATTTATAGATGAGCGGCGATAGAGGGCGGGGAAGAAAAATAATTTACACAAAAATAATTTTGACAAGAGAGTTTTGTTTAATTTCACTAGCTTAATAGTAACACAACGTGTTTGATTAATTTCTTATGATATATAAAAACGACTATAATAACCAATATGATGTTTATTGAAATAAATGTATCAATTTCAATATATAAAAGTGGTTTTCAGCCCATGTGTTTCAACATTATATTAAAAATATTGGGACGTTTATTCGTTTACCAATTGTTTATTTTATATATTCAATGACATTTTAGATTCTGAATGAAACGATGCATGTATTTGATTTTATAACAATAATGTGTTTTTTTGTGTATGAGTATACAATAAGTTTTTAATAAAATACTTTGATTTTC